CCAGAGCCCAGCAGATCGACGCTGGGGTGGCCGTGAGTATGTCACTGCACTACAAGGGACTGGCAGTAGTGGGAAACTGCCAGGGGAGGTGGGGTGGGATTGGCAGTTGAGGGAAACTGCTAGGGGATGGAGGGGTACCCTCCCCTCATCAACAAGGGTATCTGCATAATCAACGTTTGTATGCCTAACTCTGTATTATACCCCACATCTTTATAATAAAAAATAAAAAAGCCTGGATCTCATCTCGAGTCCTCCAACTTATGGGCGTGGCTGATCTTGGACAAGTTGTTTAAACTCCTCTTGCTTCCATTCCCAGATCACCAAATGGACATAATAATAACACACGAGAAATCATTCCTATAAAGATTACCATAGTTCCTAGCTCATTAAACACCAGCCGCTGCCATTAGTATTAATAGCTATTAAGAGGGGGCCCCAGGCTTGGCCCTGGCCAGTCATGTCCCTGTTTCAAGACGAGCAGGGATGGCTGGGGACAGGCTCTCTCCATCTCACCCTTGCTAGAAAAAACAGTGGTTTCTACCACCCACACTGGCAGAGCAACCTTTGAATATGAAGAACAGTGCCCTGTGTACACAGAAAGAGCAAGGCTGTATTGATTCAGAACACAGAGCAAGCCAGTCAAAATTACAGTCAGATCAGAAAAGAGGCAATTTTATTACATTCAGTTGCCGACGTGACTTATCTAAGTGCTTCTCTGTGCACACATTCTAAGGCGCTGACTTAATGAATGTACAAAGCCCACTCGCAATTAGCAACACCCATTTGTGTGCCAACAATTCATATGCAAAAGTCAACATTCAACGATGACAGCGTTTAATTTACAGAGCAAATTGTCCTTAAAAACAATTTATACGGCAAGTCACTCCTGCAGCTGCCTGCGTTGGTGAATTGCAGATTTGCTTAGCAAATCCTTTCTTTGAAGAGAGCACCAGAATTAGGCAGAGTGCATTCCAGGTGCTAGAGATGGGCGGGGTCTCTGCCAGGGTGATGTCCAAGCAGCGTGTCCCAACTCTGTAGCTAGAGTCTAAATTTCTAGGGTCATGAGCATGCCCTGGAAACTTGTGGTTCCTCAAATGTGTGGCATTTCTTCTTAGAGCAGTATTTCCCCAAGGATGCTGCTTGGGCCCTCTGCATTGGAATATCTTGGGTGTGTATTAAAATGCAGATATTGCTAGGTGCGGTACTCACACCTGTAATCCCAGTAGTTCGGGAGGCTGAGGCAGGAGGAATGCCTGGGACCAGGAGGTCGAGACCAGCCTGGGCAACATGGCGAGACCTCATTTCTACAATAAATTTTAAAAATTAGCGAGGTGTGGTGGCGCGTACCTGTAGTCCCAGTTACGTGGAAGGCTGAGGTGGAAGGATCGCATGAGCCCAGGAGGTTGAGGCTGCGGTAGCTGTGATCATGCCACTGCACTCCAGCCTGGATGACAGAGTGAGACCCTGACTCAAAAATAAAAATAAATTAGCCTGGGCTCAGTGGCTCAGCCTGTAATCCCAGCACTTTGGGAAGCCGAGGTGAGTGGATTGCCTGAGTCCATTGGTTCGAGACCCACCCAGGCAATTTGGTGAGACCTTGTCTCTACAATAAATAAAAAATGAGCCAGGTGTGGTAACGCGTGCCTGTAGTTCCGGCTACGTGGAAGGCTGAGGCGGAAGGATCGCCGGATCCCAGCAGATGGAGGTTGCGGTGGCCGTGAGTGTACCACTGCACTCCAGTCTGGATGACAGATTGAGACCCCGACTCAAAAATAAAAACAAAGTAAAAATAAAATGCAGATATTCCTCATCCGTCATTCCACCTGTTGCAGATATCTCAAAATATCATTCGCACACATTACCTCAAAGTCATGGGGTCCCCAGACTTGCTGCTAGGTCTTGTTCTATCATGTACTAACAACAGCACAGAACAGCTATTACCACTATTTATATTAAATATGTTTTGATAACTGAATTTTAAAATAATTTGTTTCCTTTGTAATCCTATGTACATTATGCATTTAAAAATAGACTTCATCAGATTGCCAAAGGGGTCATCACACTCCAAAGTTTGCTTTTTGAGTAGGGGTCTCCCTCTGTCATCCAGGCTGGAGTGTCGTGGCACAATCACAGCTTATTGCAGCCTTGACCTCCTGGGCTCAGGCGATCCTTTCTCCTCAGTCTCCTGAGTAGCTGGGACTACAGGTGTGTGCCACCACACCTGGCTAATTTTTTTTGTAGAAACAGAGTCTTGTTATGTTGTCTAGGTTGGTCTTGAACTCCTAGACTCAAGTAATCCTGCCTCCTTGGCCTCCCAAAGTTCTGGGATTACAAGCGTGAGTCACTGCACTTGGCAATAAAGGGAATACAGATGGATTAGCTCAGGGAAGGAAGGCCATCAGAGCCTTCTTGAACCTCCACACCTCAACACTGGCCTTTCTCAGCACAAAAGTTTGAACAACAATCTTAGGATTGGCCGAAGCTAGAAGGCCTGGTTACCAGAGGCATCTTGTGACTTCAGGGATTTGAAGGGAATGAAAGTGCAATTTCCAAATTCAGGGGCCAGGGAAGCAGCTCTCCAGTGACCCTGCAGGCCTCCTGTGGCTTGGACCAGCTGCCAATTCCCTTTCCAGAGATGCAGGCCTTACGCTCCATGGAGGATGCCTGTCCTGGGTGCATAGGGAACTCCTCTGGGAAGAGGCACATGGTGCACTCTGGTCCTAAATCTCTCCATAGTTCAGTTGGTTAGAATTTCAATACCAACTCCTACTTTATCATAACCTAGCATTTCTGCAGTCAATGCTTCAATTCCATTGGGAGCCAATATTCAGCTAAACTGCTTGATAATCAATTGGATCATAAGTAAATACAGTATGATTTTCCTCTGGTTGGTCAGACTTAGAGAGCACAGCATTGAATTAGGAGTGCACAAGCATGACAGATTATTATTCAAACTTGGGGCACCCCAACCTTAACTGCTTCCCTCTTTCCACTTTTCTGCTTTTTTTTTCCTTCCTTCCTTCCGTCCCTCCCTTTCTCCCTCTTCCTCCCTTCCTCCATATTTCCTGAGGGTCTACTTGTGCCAAGAAGTTACTTGGTGCTGAGGTTACATCAGTGAACAATTCAAACATCTGTACTTCCAGGGAGAATATATTCTAGTAGGGAGAGAGCCAATTAAAAAAAAAAACTAAGTAAAATATCAAGTGTGACTGGGGGAAGGGAGAAGGGAAGAAATTGCTAATGGCTTTTTGTTGGGGTGATGAAAATATTCTAAAATTGATTGTGGTTATGGTGGTACAACTTGGTAAATACACGAAAAACTGTTGACTTGCATGCTTTCCATAGGTAAACTGCTCATGAATTATATCTCAATAAAGCGGTTATTAAAAAACAAAATAATATGTCATAGGATAATTCTTGCTGGGAATAAAAGCAAAGCACTGAGCAGGGACAAGGGCTGTTATGGATAAAGGTTGCAGTCTTGTGTCCCCTTCACCCACCAATGCATTGAAGCCTTGACACCCAGTGCGATGGTATTTGGGTTACAGGAGTCCGTGAGGGTGAGTCCCTCATGAGGGGAATGGGGCCTTATAAGCAGAGGAAGATTCTCTCTCTCCCCACTATGTGAGAACATAGCAAGAAGGCGGCCTACCGCAAGTCAGGAAGAGAGCCCTCCCTAGGAACCAAATTATCCAGCACCTTGATACTGAACTTCTCAGTCTCAGAACTCTGAGAAATAATTATCTGTCTTTTAAGCTGCCCTCCCTACGGTATTTTGTTATAGAAGACCAAACTGACTAAGACAAAGATTCTCAGGGTGTTACAGTTTTAAATAGAGCAATCAGGGAAAATTTTATTGAGAAGGTAACATTTGGGTGAAACTTGAAGGTAATGAGAGCGAGCCATGTGGACACCTGTAGGAAGAGCAGTTCAGGCAGAGGTAACAGTAAGTGCAAAGGTCCTGAGACATGCCTGCTCTGTCTAAGGAACAAAAAGGGGCCAGAGAAGGGTAGAAGAAGATGTCTACGGGTGAGGGCCTTAGGAGGCCTGGAGGCAATTTCAGAGAGCTTGGCTTTTTCTTATGGGTTGGATGGGAAGCCCGTGGGAGATTCTGAACAGAGGAGAGACATGATCTGACGTAGGCTTTAAGTGAATGCTATTGTGGAAGTCCACAGTGACTGGCCACTGTTCATACAGTAGTTAATGTGATCCAGGCACTGTGGCAAAGCCCTTGTGAAAGTTGTGAAAATCGAAAAGACTCACTTAAAAACTCTGACAAACAGAGCCAGGGAAGGCCAAGAAGGGAAGGTTCCCATGTACAAAGGCCTAATAACAAGAGCTATCACAGAAGGTTGCAGAAATCACAGGATTGCACAGAGGCCACTGCAGCCTTACACACACATATTCTACTTCTACAGGGACTTCGGACTAGGAACTGCCTGTCTAACCTTGGACACCACCCTCGTTATTGATCCTTGTAGTCAAGGATAATTATTGCAAAACACTCATGTAACCCTCCCGCTTTTCCTTTACAAACTGTTGTCTTCCTTTTTCTTCCTGATTATGCACATAACATAGTTCGCTATGGCATGTGTAGTCCCATTACAACGTCTATTCCCAAACAGACGAAGCTCCCTCTGTTTGTTATTTAGGTTGACACCTTTATGGACTCACTGAATCACCACAACTACACTCTGAGTTAGTTACTGCTATTCTCTTTATTTCATAGAAAAGAAAACTGAGGCTCAGAAGAGATGAGGAATTTGACCTATGAGAGGCAGAGCCAGGAAATTTACCAGGCCTGCCTGGCTCCTTCTCCACCTTTCCCACAGCCACTGGCACTGTCTAGTGTACACAGCAGGTGCTTAATAAAAGGTGTCACCTGGCTGATTACAAAGTAGTGAGGTTGGCATTGGTTTGATGGGATGATGACGTGTCACCTGAGGCAGAGACAGGATGGGTCTCAAGGCACGAGGGCAGGGGAGCCAGCGTTCACTTACTCAGCTCCGCGATGCTGCCCACGCGGGTGGCCAGCAAGGACTGCTCGATGGTCCTCAACTCTGACTGGCTGAACATGGGCAGTTCTCCCGGCTTGTTTGACCGCTGTGGGTCTCTGTGAAGATTCAGGCTGTCTGGCAGGCACAGCACCCCTGTAGGCAGAAGGGAGAGAGAGAACGAAAGGAAAACAGACTGTTATTTTTCAGTTAACCTAGGGAGGGGTGCAAAACCTTACACAACCTTGGACCACACCAGAGCTGGTACTCCAGGGCCAACGTGGGAACCAGTGCTCTGGACTCCTTTTGGAAGTAGATGTCCAGCTGTTTGGAAAGGTCACCCCAAAGTCCTGCCCGCTAATTTTCTTTTTTCTTTTTTTGAGTTGGAGTCTCACTCTGTCGCCCAGACTGGAGTGCAGTGGCCACTTCCGGCCACCGCAGCCTCGACCTGCTGGGCTCCGGCGATCCTTCCGCCTCAGCCTTCCGAGTAGCCAGAATTACAGGCGCGCGCTACCACGCTCAGCTAATTTTTTGATTTTATTGTAGAGATGAGGTCTCACCTGCCCAGGTGGGTCTCGAACCCGCGGGCTCAGGCAATCCACTCACCTCAGCCTCCCAAAGGCGCGGGATGACAGGCTGAGCCACCAAGCCCGGCCTGCCTGCTAATTTTAACAAGCATGTAGGCATTCGTCCGGACACACACGTTTCCAAAAGACACACAACAGAATCCTCTCCTTGGGCCTGGCAGGGTTTCAATCCACTCAGAGATGCTTCTTGTGACCCTCCAAGGCAGCTGTGGTCCCTAAGCGCCCTGGGGGAGCAGGGTCTGCCGGTAATGGCTTCTGAGGGCTTGCTCAGTCTACCCAATAAAGTCAGCTCTGGGTGGCTGAGCTGCTTCCCGTTGGACAAGGCTTTTGGTCTCTCTGCAGAGCTATGTCAGGAGGCAGAAGAGTCCCTATGGACTCTGTAACTTGTACGGTGAATACCCATGGGGAACCCCTGGAATCCAGTTATTCTCTTCCCTTCCTTTCCATTCTTTAAAAGTTTAGTAAGAACCCGAGCACTTTCCTGGGTAGAGTATTCAGACATATTTACTCTCCCCTTCGCCATCCTTCACCTCCCAAAGCTGCGTGTACTTCCTTGACTCCCTGACTTACTTTGGTCAAAGGTATGTTAACGGACATGATGGAATCAAAGGCCTGAAGGGTGCTTGTAAGTTGAACTTGCTCTCGGGTACCTCTACCTCCATCATGGAAAAAACATGCCCTGGTTAGCCAGTGGTCCAAGGTGAGCGAGAAACGCAGAGCAGATCCAGAACTAACCTTATAACCAGCTTGGAGCTGCCACCAACCGGCCCGTATAAACAAATGCTTATTTGGTGTGTCACGGAGACAAGGGGACTGTTTGTTGCTTGCCATTATTATGGCAAAAACTAACAGATACACACCTACCAGTCGCTGAAGATACAATGACTAAGGTAGACACTGTGCTTTGTTCGGGGCTGAAAACACAGTGGTGGACAGAGCACTATGATTCCTGTGCTCAGCGAGCTCTCAGTCTAAGTGAAGGAGACAGACTGTTAGACAGACAACCATAAAACCACCTGATAATGCTCTGTGGGAGGAGAAGATTAGGAATGAAGGGCTGTCTCAGGGATCTGAAGCATGAGTGGCTGTTAATAAATAGGAAGCACTTACTGAGTGCCTGCTGTGTTTTCAACCCTGCTGGGCATTATGGAGCCGCAAAAGACGCCGAAGACATATTCAAGTCATTTACAAACTCACTGAACAGGTAAGACAGGCATCGATGAAATAATTTGGGAAAAATAAAACAGTGTCAATATCTAAGTGCTGGATGGTTTAAGCCAGCCGCAGGAGGGGAGACAGAATGCCAAGGCCAGTAGCTCAAGACCCTCGCTCACCCTGCTTGAATGACACAACCTTGGCAAACCATGGCCCCTCCTTTGAAGACGGGGGCCTTTGTAAAGCAGGCCCTGTCACCTTCCTCTGGCCCCTGCTGCCTAATTACTGGCTCCAGCCACTCTGAGCTACTCACTTTCTCCTAAACGTTTTTACCTTCACACCTAACAGAAGCTGAGACAACAGGGAGGGCGACTCTAGTAGTTGGATTTTTCTTTTTGGGTGAATAATGAATAATATATGAATGATATAAATGACCTTTAATGATTTCAATGTTCCTATAATCAGGAAATTGTCAAGTAAATTTTCTTTCTAAGATTGTTCTCTAACCATTTTTTTTTTCAAACATTTTTGACCGTGACTCAGAATAAGAATATATTTTATATCACAGTCTAGGGCACACACACTTTTCATTTTAAAAACTTCATGGAAAATGACACTGACCCTTACTACATGTGAGCATTCTCTCTTTTTTTGGCCTTTTCACGTTTCTTCTCTTCTGTTTTATTCATTAAAAAAAAAATACTGGCTGCAGTTCTGAAAGTGATTTCTTGCCTTGCAGTGGGTCGAGATGGCTACTTGAAAGCACCGTGGACCGTGCCGCTCTGCAGCCTGGCACTAACTGGATGACACAGATTCACCATTTACTGGGCACTGCCTGGCGCTACACTTCAGGAACTCTCAGCTTTCAGGAGAGATAAGACTTTCCCAGGAATGCCGCCATCCAAGGCCGGCCTCCTGCCTCTGCCTTGACGGCTGCGTCATTCTCCAGACCAGCCCAGGCAGGCACACACTGAGTCATCCTTGCTCTCTCCACTTTGCTCACCTGCCGCGACATGAAGTCACGGGCTAAGACAAGTCACTGTTGCCACGGAAATGAATCTTGGGCCAGTTCCTCATCTGACGTCCCTGATGTCTCTGACTCTTAATTCAGGGACTTACCATCCCTTGAAGAGCTCGCTAAAAAAGCACCAGGGAGTCCCAACCCAGTCTGACATGGGACCCAAGTTTCAGGGGAATGAGACCCTCCATTTAGGGGAAGGGGTTGATGGTCAGGGCAAAAGAGACCCAAGAGCTGGGCCCTGAATGCTGAAAAGACGGTTGACTAATTAACAGTACAAATGACTCGCCTGTTCTCACAGGATTGTTTCCTTGGTATTTGCATCATCTGTAGCAAGTTAGCCCAGATTCTCATCTTAAGATGTTGCCTCACATGTTAAGGCCCAAGCAAACGGGACTTGAAGTCTGGAACCCAGAGGTTCAGTCTTGGCTCTGCCACTTGCCACTGTGTTTGAACTTTGGCAGGCCACAGAACCTCTCTGCATCTCAGTGTCCTCGTCTGTGAAATGGGAATGGCCTTATTTTCCTTACAGGAATTCTGGAGGGGAGTACAGGAGTGAAATGAGGTCATGGGTATCAAAGTATTTTGCACGTGCTAAGCAAACAGCAGGTCCCCACCCAGGTTGCTGGAGATGAGACTCAATGTGTGCTCACTCAGTATTGGACTACTTTCTGCTTTATCACAAGAATCAACAATTTCCCTGGAATTATTTATCCTTCTTTTAGAGGGGTATGAAATGTAAATGTGGAAATATAATTATTCAAAAAAGCTTCGAGAGCTAGATTAAAGAGATTTGGGAAATCTATAATTGATCTATTATGCAAGGATTATAGACCAGGACTTCATTTTCTTTTTTCTTTTGGAGGCCTCTACGTGAGGCATACACACAAACTGGAGTTAAGCATTTATGTTCTGTGTAAAAATCAAGAAGGTGGCCCAGCATCATTATTTTAACATCAGATGCAGGCCTGTGGTTTGGCCTACTCATCCGTTCCCATTATTGGAGCCAAGGACAAGGTTCAGCCTGGTGATTAAGACCCACGTTTAAAGACAGAGGGAATGGAGCTTCAACTATGACTCTGAGTACACCAAAAGGGAATGGTTTCCCTGGAGAGCAGGTGAACACAAGCCAGGATCCATAGCGGGCTCGAGGGGTCCTGCCCTCCCTGAAATTCTATTACTTGTGGTGTGTTGTGCATCTGTCTAAGGCGGAAGTTCATTCGAATTCCCAAAAGGGTCGATGGGACTTAAAAGTGACAAATTGAAGCCTTTGAATGTCCACATTCCCACCCCTGCAGGGTTTCTCTGCTCTGGGACTGGCCTGGTGGGAAGGTGGGGCCAAGTGAGCTGGGCACAATTCAGGACCGTCAGAGCCGAGCTCCATCCTGCTGCTGCCCTCTGCACAACCTGGACAAACAGCTTCCCCCTCCATCGGCTTCCGCGTCTGCAGAGAGGGGCTACACGATCTGCTTCATGGGTTTGTTGTGGCGATTAACAAGATAATATACCTAAAGCCTCTGGCCTGATAAATGCCCTGTTCCCACAGATGTACAGTTTTGTTTATTTAGTGTCTGGATTCAAACAGCCCTGTGGACCCTCTTTCCAAAATCTTGTGCAAGACAACCTTTGGGTTAGGTCATTCTCAACCTAAAATATGAGGGCTGCTGCATGGGGTGGACCCTGGGCCGACTGTGCCTGGCATTCTGTCTCTCACGGGGCCCACTGGGGGTACATTTTTGTCTCCCTCCATATGTCTAGCTTCCTGTATGTATAAGATGGCTCCTTGGCAGACAGATGCCCTGAAATCCTTCCACTCTCATCTTGGCTTCTCTCTGTGTCTACGATCTGCTATTGGCTCAGGGGGACGGGATGCTGTTTCTCCACAACCAGAAAACCAAGTAAGATAGCTATTAGCTGCGAAGTCCATATATTTGTCCTTCTTTCTGACTGCATAATATTCCATTGTGTATATGTAGCGCATTTTTAAAATCCAGTCCAGCTTCGACAGGCGGTATGGACTTCGCAGCAACCTGGATGAATTTAGAGTCGATCATTCTCAGTGATCTATCACAGAAACAAAGAACAGAGTGCCGTGTGTTCTCACTCATAAGCAGAACATGAACAATCATAATACTATAAGAAAGCATTTGGCAGTAATGGGAAACTGTCAGGGGAGGGGGGTGGGATTGGCAGTTGAGGGAAACTGCTAGGGGAGGGAGGGACATACCTCATCAACAAGGGTACCTGTATGATCAATGTTTGCATACCTAACCCTGAATTGTACCCCATAGCGTCATAAAAAAAAAGACAGCTATTCGCATTTAGCCATTTGGCCCTGGATGATGATGATAATGGTGATGATGACACTGGTGATAAAGGAGGAGGAGAAAAAGAGCAGCCACATTTTACTGAGTACCAACTATGGGTCAGGCACCAGGCCAAGCACTTTCCACATTGAATTTCAGGTTTATTTGAACCCCCACAGCCACCCTCATGGGTAGGGAATCCAACATTCATTAAGAGATAGTATCAGGTAATGGTTAAGAGCAAAGGCTCTGGGTTCCAGTTGCCTGGGTTTGAACCTTGGTTGCACTATTTACTACTGGGGTAGCCTTAGGCAAGGGAACGTGGCCATTCTGTGCCCTGGTTTCCCCATCTGTAAAATGGTAATATTAATATTAATATTGCCTATTTGACAGGTTGTATGAGGATTAAATGAGTTAATCTGGAAAGGCACCTAGTGTCGAGGAAGCACTGCAAAATATTTTCTACCATGATCTCCACTTTATAGGGAAAGCGATAGAAACTTGAAGATGTTTCATCACTTGCCCAAGGTCACGCTTGCCTAGAAATGGAGCTTTTGATTCCAGAACCCAGTCTCTTAGCCACTCAGCATATTGCTTCCTGGCCACTCAACCCTCTCTGCCAGGCACTGTGAGGGAGGAACATGGTTGCACCCAGACAGCTGGATCCTTACCCTACTGAGCTCACAGTGTAACCACATGTGAGAATTTTTCCCTGGCATTGTCACCCAGGAGCTGGCAGGCAAGAACACAAACTTTGCTGGATGCTGAAATATTCTTTAAACTTCACATGGAAAAACATTCGCAATCTGCCCTCATGGGACAGAAGACAAGATCTACACATATATACCACAGATCTGTTTCCTAGTTTGCATTTGCCACTAGGAAGCTCACAGCCAAGTGTGCAATCCACATGTAAATAAGGAAGGGCATTTTTTATATTTTGCCTTTTGTCATCTATGGCACCACTGTTGTAATGTACATATTTTAATAAGCTGCCTCAAAGTCATTTGGAAATCAATTAAGCATAAACAGTGAAATAACTCATGACCTCTGGCTCTTTTGTTTCCTTGAGTTTCCATATAGTTTGCAGTTGCTTCCTAGGGGGTCATGGCTGGTGAGTGAGCACAACCATGCAGATTTATCAGGTACGGAGTTAGGTTTTTTGTTTTTGTTTTTTAAACCAGGGGTTATTAAGTGAAAATCTCTGGGTTTGACTCAGCAATCACCAAACTTCTGAGTCTTCGAAGCCTCTTGAAATTAATGAGCATCCTTAAGATCCATAAGCTGATCAGAAGGAAAGAAGCTTTGGTGTTGGGGCTTCCATCAGAATTGGAAGAATATCCTAGACTCCCCACTGAAACCTGGGAGCCAGAAGTCCTAGTAGCTTACACAGTGTTAGGCTTTCCAGCCTCTGATTCCATATTATTGGGAAGATTGACTGCAGAAATGGCCTCCATTTTTTTTGTCCCTGCCTGTATGCAGGCAACACGACTCTGAAATTCTTTCTGTCAAGGGTCAGCTTCTCCATCTCTTCAATCCTGGCTGACCCATGACCTGCTTTGGCCATTAGAGTGTGACGGGAGTGACAGGATGCCAATCCAAGCCTAGGCTTTAAGAGGTCATGTGTGTTTTCTCTCTCAGGACCCTGCCATCAGGAGGGGAAGAAACTTGGTGAGGCTGCTGGGGGCTGAGAAGAACACACAGAGAAGAGCTGAGGCCCCCAGGACCAGCGGACAACCAGCCAACCCCTAAAAATGCAAGAGAGCTCTGCCCAAGTCAGCAGAGCTGACGGCCAACCTGCAACTGACTACAGACTCATGAGTGAGCCTGGCTAAGATCAAAGACCCACCCAGCCACAGCAAGAGGTTGAGGCTTCAGTCACTGAACTTGGAGGTCACTGGTTACGCAGCAGATGCACAATAGCTGTCTGGTATATCTACAAAACTGATAGTCGGTTAGTTATTGTCTTCAAATGCTTTCCACTTTCCTCACGTTGCTCTGTAGAATCTAGTAGCTCTGGGAAATTCCCTGCTGATTTGTTTATTTTTAATTTTTTTGAGGCAGGGTTTTACTCTGTCACTGAGGCTGGAGTGTAGCGGCACAATCATGGCTACTGCAGCCTTGAACTCCTGGGCTCAAGCAATCCTCCAGCTTCAGCATCCTGAGTAGCTGAGACTACAGGCACATGCCACCACAGTTGTCTAATTTTTTTTACTGTTTGTAGAGACAGGGTCTTGCTATGTTGCCCAGGCTAATCTCGAACTTCCGGCCTCAAGTGATCCTCTTGCCTCAGTCTCCCAAAGTGCCGGGATTATAGGCATGAGCCACCATGCCTGGCTGATCAGTTTATTTTTTAAATCTATTTTTATGTTTTCTGAGATGGATCTTGCTATGTTGCTCAGGTTCAATTCCTGACCTCAGGCTATTCCCCCTGGCCGCAACCTCCTGAGTAGCTAGGATTACAGGCATGAACCACAACACCTGGCTTTGCTGACCAATTGCTATTGGTCCAGGCCTGGGAAGAATCTACTCAGGGCTTAGGCAGGGATGTAAAGATGGTAAGATGACTCTCCCAGTGGTTTCTTGGCCATACCAAGCACGCCACCCCAGGGCCTTTGCACTTGTTCTTCTCTCTTTGTGAACTCTCTTCCCTTGGGTACATGCACAGCTTGCCCTCTTCCTCACTTAAGCCTCTCTCTGCTTCAACATCAACTCCTCAGAGAGACCATTCTGACTTCTCTGCCCCGTTTAACTCTCCTATCCCCTCACTCTGTTTCATTTCTGCTTTATAGCCCTTACCACTACCTGGTACTATGTTATGCATTATTTGTTTATGTGTCGTCTGTCTCTG